GCCTTAGAAATTCCACCCTTTTCAAAGCTATACTTGGTAGTTCCATGAGCCCTCGTCGCGGATTGTCCTTAAGCCACTTAAATCCAAGATCTCTAAGCAACCGCCTTAAAGACGTGGCACTACCATCAAATAATGCCCTATCTCTTAATCGAGACCATAAAGTTTGTATCGTAACTTGTTCTTCTGAAACCATGTGTAATATGACATTATAATTTAGTTAACAAATTAATGCAAATTTCTGATAAGTTATTATAATAAGATCTTACTTTTGTGATACATATTATAGATCACTTCTCGAATGGCACTTGTATCCAATGTCGCTGTGTTGGTTACACGTTTAATATAACTCCGCTTTTTCTTGGGCGATTCTAAATTTGCATCACTTTTCACACCCTCGGAAATACGACTAACTGTCCTTAAACTAATTTTTAAAGCAGCAGCAACACGCTACAAAAAATGAAATAAAATTTCACTATTATTAATATACATTACATATAATTATTAGTAACCTACCTCTTGAACAGCATTTAAAGGCAACAAAGGCCCGTTGTTGTCCCTTTCTTGCTCAAAGTAGTGCATTAACGAGGCCACGAGTTCCTTACACCGACTATTTAACTGTTTGGGCATCTTTATATACCAAAATTGCCTTTATCTACTCGTAAAATGAATAATTTTGTTTTGAAACAAACAGTTGTTGATTTACCGTATGCGGGGCCAAAGGATTTATAAAGATTTGAAATGCCACAAATTGATTCAGTGTCAAAATTAATACAAACGTCAGTTCCCAGTTTAAATAAGTTTCAAGGTGACAATGTGTCAACGCTGCGAAATCGGTTTAGTGCGTTTACATGTCGATAAGTGATTGGAGCGTTTGCAAAACATTTTATTTCGCATAATGCGTCTAAATTTATCAGAAAGCAACTTATGTGATATTTTAATAACAATGTTTATATGACTATTAACCATAATAAGAGAGTAATGACCATTTTACAATTTATATATCACATTAATATGAAACTGCAATAGAGCAATTGTTTGTGATAGAAACCTAGGCATTAGGTCGGGGAATTTTTATCGTGATGACGTGCACGCCACTTTGTTTGGCGTTGACTATAAATTGAGTTGAATTGTCAGTACTATACTGTAAGAAAACACAGTTAGTCATAACTGCTTTGTGTCAATTTATGATCTTAGCACCATCCATACCGGTCAGTTGACCAGTTTTTCCATTTTATATTTCAACAAAAATAGCCGGAAGTCATTTCCAATTCTGTGGGATCCACTCTATGGTATCACCATTTTAAATACTTTAGGTAAATTTATAACTGATAATTAAGATGTATCCTTTTTCTGAGTTATCTTATTGAATTGCTTTTTATTCAATAAATTACGACTACATTCCCGTATATAAGCTATATGTTTCATAATTCCAACTTCGTTGTCGTAAATTCAAAACACTATGGGAATTATTAATACGGTCCATGAATTATTTAGCTGGAGCAAGTGAAGTTGCAAGACATTACTGTCTAGAATGTAGATCATTTAATTATTTCTGATCTTATGACGAGTTCGATGTTTCTGATAAAATAGGGGAGACTCGGGCAAAGTAGATACGTTAAGCTCATAGAATTAAGAGAATACACGTGAATAAATCTGTCTATTTATCTTTCAAACATAAATAATAATATTTAGCTTGGAGATAAATGTGTAAGCTTGAGCTTAACTCGCATAGTGAAACACCTTAATTTGTTTACGTTCAACATTAGTTGGTTTAATCTTTGTTGCTAGGTATTGTAAGGTAGTTGCTCTGCATATCACAGCATTTCCTGTGACCTATATTACCCGCACAACCCTATATTTGCTAACAGTTTCTAATAACAATATTTATACTTCATGAGATAATGTGGCTATATATCACAAATGGTTAGGAATAGTTATTATACAGTGCTTTCCCTTAATGTCCCCCTCCCCTTGGATTTTTTGAACGGATCAATTCAAATAATTAAAACTTAAGGTAATGAAATTGATGCGTGGATACCATATTTTAGAGTAAAATTGACAGATGAAAATGTCAAGATGGTCGCCGGGCGCCATCTTGGAAAACAAAAATTATATGAAAACGGGGGTCTTGCGGCACGACATTTTGAAGCTCCTGACGAGCAATTTATAACCCTACAATATAAAGTCAACACCTTTACCTACCTACTACAAAATGGTGGTGCACCAAATAACTACTTGAACACAAACCCACTAACATGCATATCTCGACAAATAATTGTAATTCCCTACCGTATCCACAGCAACAGCGATAAAAACTTGTTTTATTATTTATTGTTGACAGTGACAAGAATATGAGTACGAAAACAAACATCATCGTACAATTAAAATATTCTTATTTAATTTTCGGTTATAGTATAATTTTTATTTATGGCGCGAGGCGTAACTTTCACGAGACCGAAAGGATTTTTAATGATCGTTTCCCGAATCGTCCTATCTGCAGAAAATATTTAAGGGAACTTGTATCTAAATTTACAACTACTTGTAGTGTAAACAGCAAAAAGTCCCCAGGTCATTCGACCATCCCGGAAGAAAAGCAAGTTCAAATAATTGGTGAGATCATAGTAAATCTCCAACAGTCTACTTCCACCATACAAAATTCAAATGGTACATCAGCTAACTGAAGATGACCCTGATCGAAGAACAGAATTCTGCGAGACTATGACGGAAACCATTGCACGGCATTATACCTATATCCAAAATATCTGTTTCAGTGATTAATGTACACTTTTATTCAACGGTAATGTGCATAGACAAAATTGTCGTTATTGGAGTGACACCAATCCTCACGTCTTCCGGAAAACTCAATATCCACAAAAAAATAACGTTTGGGCTGGGATATTGGGAAATCATATTGTGGGGCCTCTATTCATCGAACAAACTTTAACTGGAGAACTGTATTTGGATATGCTGAAAAATGCTATTGACCCTCTAATCACCGAAATCGTCGAAGCGAATCCTAATGAATTCGATACTGATATTGTATTCCAGCAAGATGGTGCTTCACCACACTACTACAGACAAGTTAGGGATTATTTACGAGTAGATAACAATTTTCCCGGTCGTTGGATGGGCCGTCGAGGTCCTGTGGAATGGCCAGCTCGCTCGCCAAATTTGACACTTTTAGACTTGTTTATGGAGATATTTGATGCAAAAGGTATAGGAAACTGAACCTGCTTCAATATTGGATATATGGCTGATAATAACAAATATTTGTAGAAATATCGATGTGTTCAACGCGAAATTACGAACCGGCTGTTATTGTTAAAAAAGTTCAAGGCTACCATTTCCAGCATCTTCTGAACTGAACTCAACGTATTTATTCGAATTATCAAGTTAAATGTCAATGTATTCAGGTAATTATTAAATGTACCACCATTTTGTAGTGGGTAAAGGTATTGACTTTATATTTTTTTGGGTTATCAAGTACTCGTCAGGATCTTCAAAATTATGTGCTATAAGACCCCCGTGTTCATATAATTTTTTTGTCCAAGATGGCGTCCAGCGGCCATCTTGACATTTTCATCTGTCAATGTCATTCTGAAATATATTATCCACGCATCAATTTCATTGCCTCAAGTTCTAATTTTTGAATTGATCCGTTCAAAAAATCAAAGGGGAGGTGGACATTAACCATGAACGATCCCAAATTCTGAAGATTTTTCATGACACCATTGATAGTATACATTACAATGGTTGTTTCCATCAGTTCGCGGTTCTATACAAATGAACTATAGTACCTATTCCGACTAGGATCTTTGATTAAATAACTTTGATTAAATAATAACAAAAATAGCAATACGGGCGAATGTAAGTTGTCTACTCTTCATTGCCCAAAGAGTTTTTTTCTGCCAAAACCATTAAGTCAATTGTCCTCATTTGTATAACTGAGAAAGTCTTGGAATATATGTCAGATACCTTGAAGAGCCGGTCGAGTATATAGTAGAGAGTTGGAATTATAAGCACGACATGTATCTTGCAATATTATTCTTTTGTTGAAAAACAAATGTCGTCTGATAACCAAATAACAACTGCTTTTTGATTATTGAAGAAAGTTGGACAGGTATGTCTACGTACTTTTTTGTGATGGCCGATTTATGGTTTTCGATAAAGAAAGATAAATTTGATTATTTTTCAGGTCTGAATACTTCGCTGGTGCCGATGTACATTTCGGAGATCTCACCGCTAAACCTGCGTGGAGGTCTTGGTACTGTCAACCAGCTGGCTGTGACCATTGGACTGCTACTATCCCAAGTGCTTGGCATCGAACAAATACTCGGCACCAACGATGGCTGGCCGCTCCTCCTGGGCTTGGCTGTCGTACCTGCTCTTTTACAGGTAAATTTACCAATTGCAATTGCATAGTTACGTACTTAGACTAGACTGTTAAAGTTCTGAGAAGGATCAAATCTAATCCACTAAAATTATATAGAATTGAAATCATCGGCTCACAAAGGTAGACTGGCAGTTGAAATAGCCTAATATTATGGGAAGTGGGTTCCACTGAAGTTTTTTGCAATTTTCATATGATTATTTTTAAAACGCCCTCATTAAAAATTGTCATGGCCGCAAGTTTTTGGGTGAGGATCGAAGAAAATGTATAGCGAAATCTGATACCGCAAAAAAACTTGTCATGTAATAGAAGAAAATTAGGAGTACAAACGTGCATACAAAAAGGCATTTTGTGTGTATTTGAGACAAGAAATAAATGGAATTATCCTCAACACGTATTTTATTAGCACACAAATCCTCACCATGCACCTATGCACTGCCGTTTCCTTCCAGCTACAGTATACAACTTACAGCTTAGACTCCCAATAATGCCATCCCTGAAGCAGATGTTACATCACATCAGAGCCAAACATTGGTAACTGAAGCTTCATGACGTTTAGGCAACACGTACAACTACAAAGCGAACTCACAACAAGTGTCCATCAGCGAGTGCTAAGTTAACATCTTGTAAAAAAAACCTACGTTGTATAAAAAAATCTGACCTAATGTCACAATTCAAGATACGTCATACCCGTGCCGGTCTTGCCATTTACACATCCTGTGATGCCTCAGCATTGCAGTACTAACATTCTGAATGTGTATGGTTATTATCCTATAGGATATACCCTTTCCAGGAAACTAGCAAGTACTCATGATGTCTGAATATATGACAAGAACGAAAGTTCTCATCACTTTTGCACCATACCAACATTACCCACTGAGAAAGAAATGGGATATGATATCATTGTCAGCCTCAAATGAGTGAGCATCTATACGTATATTGTCCGATTATTATTTGATGGAAATTAGTAAACAACCCGTGTTGCACTTGATATAAGGTCCCATATACCAAGTAGAACGTTTCCATAAGGCGCATGTAACTATACCTGATGTTCTAACCAGCTGAGCTATTTAAGCACTTGAAACAGCGTCGCTTTGTAGTTGGATTGGCAGCCTAGAAGCTAGGCTTAGGATAAACGTCTGGCCAACGCTCATCTAACGTATTATGAGTAGTAGTATGTGTCTTTATTATTTGGTCAGACTTACATTCCAACTTACAAGTTGAGATCTGCGGGCGACATTCAACATTGTTGTTCTTCCATCCAACCCCCACAATGGGGGCGAGCCATCTTTTGGAAGGTTAACGGATTCAACATTCTTCACGGTCACGTCTATCAGCTTGGAAAGAAAAATGAGCTTTTGGTCTCATCATTCTACTATCTTCTTTTCATTTTCCAGTTGGTGCTACTCCCAATCTGCCCAGAATCCCCGCGCTACCTACTGATCACGAAGCAATGGGAGGAGGAGGCCCGTAAGGCGCTTCGCCGGTTGCGCGCCAGCAACGCCGTTGAGGAGGACATCGAAGAGATGAGGGCTGAGGAAAGGGCCCAGCAGGCAGAAGCATCAATCAGCATGGCGGAGCTTATCTGTTCGCCGACGCTCAGAGCGCCACTTGTCATAGGTGTGGTCATGCAGTTGAGTCAGCAGCTATCTGGAATCAATGCGGTAAGTATACGGAGGCGTCTATTCGATTTAGACGCCCTTTCAAATCTGTCGACTTTGAAGTGAGACAATATCTGGAAAAATAATGTCACATTTTTAATCATACCGCTTTTTGTTCGTCATCTTCATCGTTTCCATACTATTCGATCTGACAGCACTGGACTCTACTGCTTTGTTGTCATGTTCAAGAACTTCTGCGCATGAGGTTTAAACTGCAGTCCAGCTTGTCTGTGTAAATGCTACCTCGTCCGCGCTCCTCGTGTTTGCTCAATCCTGGAAGTCAATCGGTGGCCGGGCAGCTTGACGATGTCTTGGATTGAGAGAATAGGTGCGGTTGCGCCAGAACTGCTAAAAAAAACGCATCTGTAGGGTGGATTATTAATTACGTGAGATGTTGCTGTAAAGCAGCTCAGTAGTCCTTTGATTGTTTAGGCACCGGCGGCCAGCCAAACGTGCGACTCATATGAGGTTTGGAGCGGAGGGAGGGACCAAATCTTAGATCTCCCAAAAGGAACAGAGGGTCAATAACTCCTCACCTAATTAATGAACGCTTTATTACATTTCAAAGTCAAGCCAAATTCTTGAGTGCAATTAAGCTCGTAGTAAGTGTTCGTTCACTAGCTGAAAACCCAGGGAACGTCAGCATCGAAATACGCACAAGTGTATTACCTGAATCGTCTACTGCAAAGTTTATCCTACCTAGAGACATATACCGTGCTGATCATTGCCAATAAGCATGAAACAGTGCCGTACACTGTTGTCCCTCAGTCGGTTGGATGAACGAATGCAGTGTTAGGTGCTTTGGGTGCTTCAACACATCTACTGTTTTCTTTGTTAATTCTAATGCTCTTAGGTGGACTAATTTTATTTAATGCTTCCATTTTTGCCATTTTTATAAAGTATTATGAATTATAAATATACTCTTAATATTTTCAGGTGTTCTACTACTCGACGAACTTGTTTGTGAGCAGCGGTCTGCCAGCAGATAACGCCAAATTCGCCACTATCGGCATCGGTTGCATCATGTTCATCATGACATTGATCAGCATCCCACTGATGGACCGCATGGGCAGACGGACGCTCCATCTCTACGGGTTGGGAGGCATGTTCATCTTCTCCATCTTCATCACCATCTCTTTTCTCATCAAGGTGCGTGTGTGTAGCCCAGTCTTCAATTGGTCAAATTATGTATTTTTCTCTTTAAAAGGTATCACTTGATTCAAAACCAAGAGGTCTTAAGCATTTACTCGAACTCTATCGCATCACCTTTTCCAAATAAACAATCTTCAGATGGGGATCTGTAAGTACTGAATCAGGTGCTTGTTACTCAGCAATAGCAGAAATATCATGTCCTTGGTTATCGAAATAAGCCTCCGTTATGGCAAACGTGCGTCTATGTCATATATTTACAAATCGTGCCCAAAAATGTGTGGCGTACTATTTTTATTTGAAAAAATAATACCCCTATTACCCTGAATCTCCGCCACTGGTGCACGCTAATTTTAAGCAAAAACTTTTGAATGTGGATAATACTCAGGTAAATCCACATAATATACTAAGTGACATATAAATCCTAACACCCAGTTTAAATGGCTTTATTTTAATACAAGTTGGTGAATGTATTTATCTTAATGTAAATAACAAGTGAAAAAATTTTCAGCCTTATCAGTTGGACATTCCGGTTTTTATACTGCGTTCTTTTAATTCACTAAGGCTCTAAAAATGAATATTTCAGCCGCAGTAAAAAATCAACGTTGGCGGATTTTGGTTCTTGACATCCTTTACGATCGGTTACGATGCCTAGAGTACGGAGACCTGTACGATTTCGTCAACTTAGTGAGTTTGATAGGGGCCGTATAGTGGGACTTCGGGAAGCTGGACTTTCTTTTCGGGCAATTGCAGTTAGAGTGCAAAGAAGTGTAGACACTGTGGTTAGGTGTTGTCAGGCATGGCTTCGAGAAGGCCGTACGCAAAGAGCAAGGGGCACTGGACGCCGCCGTAGAACAACAGACCGTGAAGATCGCCGCCTAAGATTATTGGCCTTAAGGGACCATTTCTCCACTACCAGGTCCATTGCAAATGAATGGTTTGCAGAACACGGAAGACCTATTGGCATGCGAAGTGTTTACCGACGAATGAGAAGTTTTGGCTTGTTTTCATACCGGCCACACTGGGTCCTCCCTTTAACTCGAGAACACCGACATAATCGCCTTGAGTGGTGCAGACAACGGTCACTCTGGGATTAGGAATGGAACAGTATTGTCTTTAGTGACGAGTCTCGATTTTGTTTAGGCATGCACGATGGTCGTGCCAGGGTTAGAAGGCGACGTGGTGAAAGGAGAAATCCACAGTTTTTTGTTGACAGACATGTTCATCACACTGTTGGAGTTGTTGTTTGGGGTGCTATAGCTTATGGTTCCAGGTCACCTTTTGAAGATATTAATGAAAATGTTTTTTATTTTTAATCACCCCGTATCTTTTTAATGAAGCCCTCGAGGAAAAAATGTTATGTAGAAGACCCCTTAAAATGCGGTCCATTGTATGATTCTTCATTTTTTGTCACGACTTGTGAATCACCCTGTATAGTACGATGCCAACCAAAGCAATGTTCACTAGGTAGCAATGTATGTCCAAGAAGCTTGTGTGGAGCAGGTTTGGCGCCGGAAGCATAGTTGATCCGTATGTTTACCTCCCAGGCCACGGCTTTTGCATTCATGTTAAGTTGCCACTTTTATCGCAGAACATAAAACCGAGAGGGTAAAGATAGTATTAAGCAGAATTTAAGAATAGGTGAATATAAAAGTTTCGTGATATAAAGAAAATAGCAAGCTATAACGCATTTCAGATAGCAAAGCTATCTGTAACACAAACAAAGTTGTAAATTACTCCGGACTGTATCACCTGTAAAATCGACCGTCAAGTAACAAAATGTTTCAAGTTCAAGCCTTAACCTACTGTTTCTCTAAAAGTGCCAAGTGATGTTAATACTGCGCAACACATACAATTTCCGTGACCGTCCAACAGCAAAATGTACCCTACATATAGATCGTACGTCATTTTAAATGTTTAAAATCAAATGCGGTATCCGAATCTTAACACAAGCCTTCATTTCAACGATTTCGTGAGAAAGCAACCTCTTGGACTTTCGTAAATGCTGACTTCGAAACCATTGAGTACGGCACGGATATTACGTATCTTGAAAACTGACATTATGTCGATTTTTTTGTAGTTGCCTAAACGTCATAATGCTTCAGTTATCAATGTTTGGCTCTTATGTAATGTAATGTAAAATCTGCTTCAGAGGTGGCAATACTGGAGGTCTAAGCGGTAAGTTGTATACTATAGCTGGAAGGAAAAGGCAATGCATATGTGCATAGTGAGGATTGTTGTGTTAATAATATGATGTGTTGATGATAATTCCATTTGATTCTTGTGTCAGATACACTTACTTGAGATTCAAAGCTAAAAATTAGTTGCGCATTCACTTTTTCCTATCCATTCTGGAAATTACATATGCAAATTTTGTTAAATTTAAAAAATGAGAGATGAGAAATAATTATTTTAAAACACAAAAAACGTAAAAAACATAATTTATAACTTTGAACATGACCTGTTTTCAGAAAGGACAACATATAAATAACCCGTCTGGCACCGCTAATAAATATACTTCATTGGCAGCATATTCAGTAACGATTTTCTCACACAGCAAATATCAGTGATTTTATACACATACAAACCAATACGCATAATCATCCAGATGCGATTTTGCTATTCAACCAACTTTCTTCTCAGAGACGAAAACTACAGACTACTCGGCTTCACAAAACGTATGCAACCAACAATGCGTGTAGTTGAGTCATTCCTCCATAGCTGGACGCTCACAACGATCCTAGTGAGCAAACGTGTATGGACTGTTCGCGCCCTAAAAACTACCTAGTCTGCAAGATGACATTTTATAGTTTTTGTTGACGTTTTATGTGCAAACGAATAAAAAGAACAATTTGAATTGAATTTAATCCACCGATGCCCTTAAAACCAACGAATTCGGACTAGGTAGAAGGAGCGAGACTTCGATTTGTTTATCTCCTAAATCTCAATTTGTAGTCAGGATGAAAGTGTATACTGCAAGTGGAGTTGACATAAATTAATTGTTTGACAGTTCTTCCATTAGTTTCAATTTTTAACTGTTACTGTCTACACTCGCGTGTTTGCAGATGATTGTGGTTTCGAACGATTTCAAGCCAAAGTACTTCGTATATAATTTACAAAGAGCGGCACAAACCTAAGTATTATTAATATGTTGATACAAGATTGTCACTCTGGTTAATCCAAGGTAGTCAAATAAGTCAAAAGCATGTATTAGAACTACGCAATTTTGGAGACAAACAATGTAATGTAAAGATATAGTCTTGGCTTCTCCTAATCTAAACTAATTGCTTAAAATCAACTCAGCCTAGGCAATCAATCAAGTTCAGCCTGCTTTACTCTGGACAATATCGACTCACCCTTACTTGAATGCCCTTGAGTTGAAACTACAGTTGCAGGTATCTAAAGGTGAACCACATCTTCGTTGTATTATTATTATTAAGTGTATAAGAACTTGCAATCTGCAATTGGTATTTTAAATCTTAACTTATATGATACCGGTAAAAGCGATAGTTCATACTTGCTGATGAAAGCTTGGAGAGAATCTGTGGCATTCTAGTATCCTAAGTACATCCTAGATCTAAACTGTCTGCTTGAAATGTAAGGCCTCTTGGTTTTATGTACCCTCCGCAGTCTCAATATTATTGATTATGTCAATCTGAAACATAAAAATGTGTATCATATACGTAGACGTGTTGCACATGCAGTAAGTGAAGTTTATTTTTATGGAATAACCCGATGAGACGACTACTTCAGTAATATTAGCTGTGAGAAGGGTACTACATGATACAAAAGCCAAATAAATATAACATTTTCATTCCATTTTGGTTTTAATTATTAACAGCTCTCTAGCGTAAGTATGTAGTTGGACATTTATTTTGACAATCTAATAATAATGGAAGACAATGGCAAATTGAAAATGATTCACCAACCTGTGCAAAAATCCCATTAACATTGAATCACTCTCAGTAACTGACAGTGCCAAAAATATAATAACGGCTCTAAATGTCAGTTACACAGCGTAAAATGACTACACTTGTACCATTTGACGTAATGTTTATTTAATTATGGCAGTAATTGATTTTAGCACAATTTAGCCATTTTGATAAACGCTCAAAACATTGATTAATCCCTGATATATGGGACAGGTTATTATAACAAGGGTGCCAATGACGCATGTTTGCAAAATAATACGAAAAATTTTACATGTATTGGTGCGTAGTTGGGGTGTGTTTGTGTTATCGTATGCAATTTCGAAATCTGATTGTGAGTCTTTGAACCAGAAAGGAGCGCTGATTCGAGAGCTTAGGACCCCATAAGTACCTAAGAAAGCATTTTTTATTGTGCATGCATAAACGCTCGATAGTTAATAGGTCGACACGTTGCTGAGAAATCAGAGAAAGACGGTTGTAATTGGCAAGACATGTGGAAGAATTCCATTTTGGAACTTTAATCTCTAAAAACCCAAGAATCTCATCGAATTTTCTGTTCATCTTGTGTAGATTTTGTGATTATGCACCTACAGTATCTGCAACGGTCATTGGTTTGCCGTTTCCGCAACTGCTCGGGCAAAAAAGTGATTACCGTGGCGTACACAGCAGCATAGAAGACACATTGTTGATCAAGCGTCCGAAATGTTGTAGAAGAAAGTTGGGGATCTTTTTCTGGCAGAAGCACCCAACTAGACTTGACAGCTCCGTCTGGAAGCCTTAGAATGTGGTAGCTATCATAAGGAGAGCTTAGAATTGCAAATCCGATGACATTTTGATAGATGAGAGCCAGATCACCAGTAGCTCGTTGTAGTGACTGAGGCTTATAATTGTTGAGGAAGTGTCGCCGAGCATTTTCACACTTTCTAACAATTCTAACAATAAGTTGGGAGAGCGTAGTCGGAGAAGCAGTACCCCAGACAAGTGGTCAATATTACTGGCCGGATATTATCACTGATGAGGTTAGATAGTGAAGAGTACATCCTACCTCCAAAATGTAAGATCGCTTTTTTC